GGGAATTAAGTCACCCCTAAGACCCCCCAGCCCCATCGCAGCCCCTTGCCAGCCCCTTTCCCCACCCTCGCCACCCTCTCCAGCGGTGGGAGCCCTCGCAGCCCCCCGGCTCTCCGGGCCCCCGTGGCCCCGGCAGACCCCGGCCTGAGGGGACCGTTACCCTCGGTGAGACACCCGGATGTCTGCTCGGCAAACTCCGAATTATTGTCTCCGACCCGCTCACGGCTGCCGCCTTTTTGCCTTCTTCTAAACGTGTTTTATCTCTTTCCTTCCCACCCCCCCGTTACACAATGAAATTAACTTTCGCAGGTTTGTCTCTCTTCCCCCGCATGTCTTTGCTGGGGTTATTTTTGGGGGGGGTGGTTTTTAGGCTCAGTGGTTTCAGGGAAAGAGTGAAGGCTTTTCAGCTGCTCTTCCTCCTCAAGGTGTGTTTTTTGCTCACGTGAGGTTTTCCCCAGCTCTTCAGCCTTGGAAGGGAACCGATTTTTTGGGTGACTTAATTCCCCTCCTTGTGGACAGTGGAACTCCTAGAAGTCCCCTCTGGTGCATCCTCTGAGTTGCTGAGCTTTGGGATATCTCTGGAAATCACACTCCCCTTCCTCGGAGATCCCTTTGGAAATCACACCGTGTGGGTTTGTAGGAGTGGGAATCCATGCAAGGAGCTTTTTGAACCCGGCACATGGGTGGGACTGGGATTGCTTGGTAACTCCACAGTAAATTTTCTTTTCCCCAAGACAGAACGCTTTCAGCAGTGCTGCTTACAGGCACAAGTTTGGAATATGGAAAGTGCGCTCTGTTCGCTCACAGCTCTTCCTAAGGGCTGTTTGTATTTTTTATTAACTCAAGTGGAAGTTTTGAAAAATTTACATATTGCAGATAGAGGACCAAAATAATAATAATAATAATAAATCAGGTAACAAAACCCCAGCAAAACAAAATGGATTTTTAAAGAAAAGTGCCCAGCTATTGCTGTGACAAGTGCCTAAATAACAGCGAGATGCTGAGGTACCTATGGGGGTGTCTGTTTGTAACCTTGCTTTGTGTGACACTGAGTTTTTGTGGTTTCCTTTGCCCACTGGCACTTAAAAACAGATGACATTTTCAGGCAGCAAAGGGAGGGGGAAGAACATCCACAGCCACAAAAAGCCAGGGTTTGATGGCAGTTGTAACAAGTGCATCAATTTTTAAACTTTGAATTGGCTGTGTTGACTCACTCCCTCTTCTGTCAGTCTGTTTGCCCTCCTTTTACAAAACAGAGAGGATTTCTGACTTTTAACCTATTTTACTGCTTCTGGGACCATTAATTAAGGGATTTTCATTATTAGGGGTTTTCAGTGAAGAGTCAGTTTGAAAACGAATGTGCCCAATGAAACTGAAAACTCATGTAAATCAATTGGAGGGAAAAAGCAGTGTTTGTTCATGTTGTAAAACTAGTGTGAAATGCACTTCATGTTTTTTTTTTACCTAGTGGAATATGTAATCATAAGTTGGGATATATTTTTTGATTTTTTTTTTTTTGCTGTTTGCACCCCTCTCTTTTCACGTGTAACAGGATGAGACACCAATAAAAACATGATTTTAAGCTTATTTTCACATAGCACAGTAACTGCAGTTCCTGTTGCTGCCTTGGTATAAGGTGATACAGAAATTTTTCCAAGTTTTTTTTCTGCTTTTCTAGGATAAACCTGGTAATGACCAAAGGATGTTTTCACCATTTTCTTGACGCTATTGTTGTCTGACGTCAGCACCTTGTTAATGATGTTTCCTGACTTTGCTCCATCAGTGCTTTTCTCAAGTGTTTTGTTGGTAAACAGATGGAAACTAAACTATTGTGGGGGATTAAATCAGCTTCCTTTTACTAAACTCATTGACAGCAGAACAGGTGCACATCCTTGCAGCTCAGAAAACAAGGAATTTTTGGGGCTTTGCAGCGTTCAACCCTAATTTCAGTCGTTCTTTTTGGATTTGGATGAAGACATCTTCCACCGCAGCTGCTGAGCACAAACCAAACCTTCAGCTCCAAACATTCATTAGCTGTTAGAAGGGAAGGTTAAGTTTTTCTTAATGGAGTGGAGCTCAATGAGGTCATGGCATCAGCTCCAGCCTGAATTGGAATTGGAGGTTATATTTAAAACATGATATTTTCTTCTTTGCAAGTGCACTTTTAAAATCCAAATACTGGTTCTAACTTGATTAGCTGATGCTTATAAAAACCAGAATTTCCCGTGTCTTAACTCCATTTGCCTAAAAACCTTTGTGTGTCTTTGCTGTGTTTGCAGTGGGAGCCCTGGAGGATGGTGGTTCCCGGGAACGCGCCGCTGATCCAGCAGGACCCCGCTCTGGAGCCGGCCCTGGGCAGAGACGCCCCCGAGCACTCGGCCATGGGCCCGGAGCCCCCCGAGGACGTGGGGCCGGAGGTGCGGAAGCTGCGGGAGCTGGTCAGGAGGCTGGAGCTGGACAATCAGCACGCCAGGAGCAGGAGCAGCAGGACCCTGCTGGGGACAAACGTGCCGGGGGACATCCGTGCCGGGGTGGACAACCACGAGCCCGGCCTCAATGGGATGGAGATCAACAGCAGCATCAAGGCCCTGGCAGAGCAGCAGGAGTTGCAGCTGATGGCAGATCTGCACAGCCAGCTGAGCAAAATGAGGCAGGAGGAAGGAGAGAACAACTTCAAAAGAGCCCTGGATGCCCCGGTGCAATACAGCTGCAAGAGTGTGCCCGAGGAGGTGTCTCCCCACGGGGAGCAGAGCCACAGCAACGGCCGGTGTCCCTCACCTGTGGATACGAGTGCCAGCTCCGAGCTCCTGGGCA